AAAAAAATCCACATTGTTCTGTGTGTGCTGTTTTATAGTTTGCCCTTTCCACATAATGATAAGCTGTGGAAGTCTTCCCATTGCAGCTCCCACAGCCTTACCTCATTCTTTTTATTAATGCTCATTACGATCATGCTTAAACTACTTTCCTACACACGGACATTTCACTAGACTTCTGCAGGGAGTCTATATGATGATATACTGAACCTCTTAGGTTGAAGGGATGTACATTTTAATTTGAGTAACTTCTGCTAAATGGCCTCAAAGTGGCTCTAACCAATTTATACTCCGGAAGGGGATGGAAATATGTAAGCATTTATCCACCTTTCTCTGTTAATAAAAAAAAACAGTGTTTGACACTTTTGCCACATAGATGGGCAAAATGTTATTTTAGTTTGTGTTTCTTTGGTGTAGTGAGACTGATTATTTTCCTTGTTCTTTGGTCTTTCAAGTGTATTTTTCCTTGATTATTTATTTATTTATTTGGCTAATTTTTCTATTGAGTTGTCCATTTCTTATCAATTTGTGGGAATTCTATACATTGTCAATATGGAACTTTTGTCAAATGGATGAACAAAAGATCAATAGGTACATACACACGGATGACAAAAGACCGGAAGTGTATACTTACATTGTTACCAGTCGGTCCGATATGAAGGACTAGATGGATGAACCAGCAGAAGTTTCTTTCCTCACAGTTCTCGAAGCAAGAGATCCTAGACTGAGGCATCAGTGTGGCTGGTTCTTAGTGAGGCTTCTCTTCCTGGCCTGTAGGGGCCCCCACCTTACAGCCTTCAAGTTCACACAGCTTCTTTGTATGCAACAGAGAGGTACTGAGCAGGCCCTCTGGTGACTCTTCTTACTAGGACACTAATCCATGTAAGTACCAAGGCCCCACCCTTAGGGCTTCATTCAGCCTTAATTAGCTCACTGTAGGCCCTACAACCACATACAGTCAAATTGCAGGTTAGGGCTTCAACTCGATTTTGGGGGCAGGACAATTCAGGCCATAGCACACAATATAGCCACTATTTTCTATTGTGTTTAGCTTTTATTATTTTATTTTTTGAGACAGAGCTTTGCTAGGTATCCCAGGCTAGTTTCCAACTCTAAATCCACCTGCCTCAGCCTCCTCAGTGTTGGGATTGGAAGTGTACACCACCATATCCAAGTGGTCTTTCTTTTAAATAGTGTACAAACGCATAAAAATGTTAAGCACTTTGAAGTGTACAGTTAAGCAATGTCTAGTACATTGAGACAGCTTTGCCACCCACCTGCAGAACCCTTTTCATCTTGCAAAACTGAACTCCATGCCCATCACCCCCATCACCCGCTCCCCAGCCCCTGGAAACCTCCATTCTACTTGCTGCCTTTGTGTAGACTGCATGTGATTATACCAGGTACCTCATGTAAATGGAATCATATGGAATGTGCACTTTTCTGACCAGCTTATTTCTTGACTATACTGACTTCCATGCTCACCCATGTTGCAGCATGTGGCAAAATTTCATTACTTCTTTTGGTTGAATAATATCCTGTTGTGTTTATATCCCACATTGTTTTATCTGCTCATTCATCAATGCACACTTTGGTTGCGTCCATCTTTTGCCTATTATGAATAAACCTGCTATGAACAAGAGCACACATTTATCTCATCAAGAATCTACTTTTCCATTCTTTTCCTGGATCATATGGTTTTCTATTTTTAACTTTTGAGGAACTGCAAGATTCTTCCACAGTGGTTGCTGTGGACATTTTATATTTCCACCAGCAATACACAATAGTTTCAATTGGTGTTGTTTGTTTTTAATATGACAGCTATGCTAATGGGTGTGAGATGATTTAGCTTTGTGGTGTTTTTGTTTTTCTTTGTTTGTTCTGTGGTACTGGAAATTGAACCCTGGGCCTCATGCATGCTAGGTAAGTGCTGCACCACTGAGCTACAGCCCTTTCCCAATAAAGCTTTGTTTTCAATGGGTTTTTTTTTTCCCCACAGACAAGCTAGAAGTGCAAAAATAAAGCACAGCTAAATTTAAGGGCCTGGTCTCTACTACATCCTAGCTGTATGACCTTCTACAAATGACCCTGAGCCCCATTGTTCCATCTGTAAAACAGATATAATAATCACACTCATCTAGAGTTGTAAACCACAGTGAGATGATATACTTAAAGGACCCAGCTGAAGGCAGTCTTAAATTTATCGTGTGTGTGTGTGTGTGTGTGCGCTTGTGTGTGTGAGTGTGTAGTACTGGGAATTGAACCCAGGGTCTTTGCACTACATCACCAGCCACTTTTAAATTTTATATTCTGAGACAAGGTCTGTGTTGTTGAATTGTCTGGGGTGGGTTTGAACTTTTGATTCTCCTGCCTGAGCCTGGCCTCCCAGAGCGGTTACAGGCAGGTGTACACTCTCATTCCCAGCTTCAATCTTTTGGGAAAAAAATGTCTTAAAGGGTTCTTTCCGCCCCAAAGCCTTAAACTTTCTCCTATTTCCCCTTTTCAAATTTTTTATAGCTTTGAATTAAGTCAATTATTTCAATTGATTTAAGTCGATTGAAATTTATTTTTATGCACTCTGCAAAGGGTAGCCAATTGTGCCAACACCAGTCACTGCCTGTCATGAGCATCTCTTACTGACAGCTCTGGGTGGTGCTGTGGGGTACTGGGGCCTTATTTCTGGTCCACCCAATCCATTCTGGAGCCAACACCACTTCCTACCGCTTTGGGAACAAGGAACAAGGAACAATTCCGGGTGGCCAGTTAGACAAAGCCACTTGGGTGGCTTCTTTTCAAAACCGGCTTGGCTCTTCTTGCACTCTCTTTTTGAAAACCTCGACCTGTTAGATTAAAACACATCAGGATTGTGGCGAGCTTTGGAATGGAATGTCCTGAAAAACTCACTTGGAGGAAAACTGAAGTGTTCACAGCCTGTTATCCCCTTGCAGGGACAAGTCTGTGTCTTTTCCCTTCTTTGCCCGCTAGGTAGGCCTGAGAGTTCTCTTTCACCACAGCCACTGCAGAGAAAAGCTTGGATTTCCCTACCTCCCCTTGAACACAGGGGGACTGGTAGCAAACTTCCAGATGAGAAGATTTGAAAAGGAGCTGAACAATCCGCTCTGGGGAGACAGGACATTCAGGGAGGAGGCCTTGGAAACACAGCTGATAGTTTGCCAAGGCGAGCCTGGGGATCACCCTGAAAACAGGCAGTTTCATAAGGCCCTGGAGTCGGGCTGAGCTTTAACTCCTCCTTGCCCTGATGTGCAGGTGAAGAAAGTGAGGCTGGACAATTGCAGAGAGAAGCCTCAGTGGGTCTGGTTTCTCTTTCTCCAGAGCTGAGCTCAACCTTGCTGGAGGATCAAGTGCCATCTGACAATGGGGGACAATGCACTCTGTCCCCAGGGCTCCATCCCAGCCCCCAAAAGACTAGTGGCCAAGTCTCAAGACTTCACTTTCACCTGGGTGGGTCCCCTGGAGTGGAGTCCCCTGGAGTGGGCTCCCCTTCTCCCCCAGATCCTTCTCCCTGTAAAAAGAGACCAAGTCCTTGCTTCATTCTGCTCATGGGATTTATTGTCACTCATCAGCAGGCAGCAGAGGGGCAAAGCCACACCCCACCATGGGCAGAGGTGGCGCTGGGCCACCCAGCACTATTGACACAGGCTCCCCAAGGAGGGCCGCATCCTCACTGGCAGCAGCTGCACTTCTCCTCCTCCGCCTTGCCCCCCTTCACACCCGTGCACACACAGTCCTTGGCACACTTCTCACAGTCCGCAGGGCAGCAGGAGCAGCAGCCTGCAGATGAGATGGGGGTGTTCAGATGGATGCCCCATCACGGGAGGATGTAGGAGAGTTGCTGGGGTCTGGGAAGTCATCCTGGTCCAGCCAGGATGCTGTCCCCGTCGTGCTCTCAAGTCTGATGTGACTCAGCATCTATGGAGCCCAAGCTGCCTGCTGGGCTACCCCGGGAAAGTCACCCTGGACCCAGCCCACAGCCCCCTCCGTGGGTGCGAATGAGCTCCCAGGGATGGTGTGGGTTTGGGCCCAGGCTGAGGCGTGTTGGGCCTTAGGAGGAAGCGTGCCAGGGTAAATGGCCTTGAGAGGGGCCTGAGGGAAAGCAGGGAGGTGGAGGTGTAGCAGGGCCAGGAAATCCATGGGGCTCTGTGCCTAGTCTCACATCCAGGGCACTAAGGGAGACCCTCTCCCAGCTCCTAACCCCGCCATGCACCTCACACTGCTGTGAGGGGGGGAGCTCAAACTGAGGGGTTGGTTCCACAAGACCTGAGAGGGACAAGGGTGGAGCTCCAGAGCTGCTCCCCAGCCTCACGTGGGCGGCCTCCCCCGGACACTGGAGGATTTGAGAGTGGGGCTCAAGGGAAGGGTTTGTTCCAGGGCCCCAGTTTTAGTCCTCAGCTGCCCTTGGGAGTCTTCTTCGGATTTACAGAAGCATCCACCCTGGACCTACTGCTGGAATCTGTACCTAAGGTCTGGGAGGGGTTTGCAGAGTGAGAATGGGGGAAAGTGGGGGCTCTGGGTGGGGAGGGCGGGTGTGCACTCACTCTGCTTGCAGTCCGTGCATCTGCAGCCCTTGCACTTGCAGGAATCAGCGCAGGTGCAGGAACCGCCTAGAGGGAGAAGCCACAGGAAGGGTTAATTAAAGCGGCCCAGGCTTCAGAGCAGGAGATGGCCTGCCACTCTCTGCTCACCGCTCTTCACGACCTGGGCACCCTCATCCTTCACAAGGTTAAGAATGGGAAATAAGGGGCTCCCCCTCCTGCTGTCCTTGAGCAAAGCCCTAGGGCCTGGGACTCTGCCAGTAAAGGGGTGTGCCGTGCCGCAGGGCGGGAGCTCACCAGCAGGACAGGGGCAGGTCTCCGGGTCCATGTCGAGACAGGCAGCCACTGGAGAGGGGAAACTGGCTTCTCAGGCAACTGGACGCACTGCTTGGCTGGTGGCAGCAGGTGGCGCGGCTTTTATAGCCCCAGGCGGGGGCGCGCTTGCAAAGCCTGTGGCGTCCGCCCCTGTGTACCATGTGCCCGCTCTCCGCCTGTGCGCACTGCGACAGCTGTCCACGGTGCTCGGTCCTCGCCGCCGCGGGCATCACGCAGGAGGATGCGCGCGCGCGCCAGCTCGGAAAGCTGAGGGAGCGAGGCGCTTCTCGGATTCCCCCAGCTCACCCCCGCCTCCCATCCCCCCAGCCTCGAATTCTTGGCGTCAGTTTCACCCAAAGGGGGTGCTGGACTGGGGGCAGGAGAAATCCCTCACACTGAGCCAGCCACTGTTGCCCCCCGTGGTGTGCACTGACAAGGGCCATCCTCGCTGGCGTCCTGCCGGGCACCTTGAGATCCTTGACAACTATCCCTCTGTTATACCAATCAGGAGAAAGTGGGCCCGAAAACTCAGAAAGAGGTGAGCCTAGAAGCTTTCTGGATAGACTGTCACTGGGAACATGTTCCCATCACCACCTGGGAATCTCCCTCCCTGGCCCACCTTACATCCAGGAAAGGAGCATATCAGAATCAAGCAGGAAGCTGGCATGGTGGCACACAGGTGTCATGTCAGTTATTCAGGAGGCTGAGGCAGGAGGTATGAAGCTCAGCCTGGGCAGCTTAGCAGGACCATATCTCAAAATAAAATATAAGGCCTAAAGGAGTGGTACACACATATAGTCCCAGCTGTTGGTAGGCTGAGTCTGGAGGATTGCTGTGAGCTCAAGGCCAGCCTGAACGGCATAGCAAGTCTCAAAACAACAACAACAACAACAAAAAAGTAGACTAATAGAAAGGGCTGAGGATGTAGTTCAGTAGCAGAGTGCTGTTGGGGTCAATCACCAGTACTGAAAAGAAAAACAACAAAAGCAGGGTGGAGGTGGTGTGATTTGCTGGACATGTAACCAGCGTTTCCTGCGTTCAATCACTAGTATGGGGAGTGGGCTAGGAATCAGGGGAGAGAAGTAAAGAAAAGAAGTCTAAGCTGCTTTGAGCATGTCCCAGAGAGCTATTGTCTCTGTTTCCCAGTCCAGACCCAGATCCAGTTCTGGGAACAACCCTCACCTCCCCGACCAGCTGCTGGAATTCTGACATCCTATGCCAAGGTGATGTTGGAACAGCGACATGAACTGTGCGGTTGCCACCCCTCCTGCCTTCCAGGGCTGGTGCCAAGGAGGCTCCTTTGGGGCTGAGCATGTCAAGAGTGCGAGACCTGCTGAAGTGGAGATGCTGTCTTCAAAAGACAGGGCCATCCAGCAGCCCCCGGGGCATGGAATTTGGGGGCAAGGAGAGAAGAGGACAGCTAGGAGAGGGGCTCAGTGTCCTCCACTTGCTATGTGACTGGAACCAGCTGAGTCACACACACCAGTCCTCCCTCCAGGCCCTGCACACAATGCAGGTACTTGCTAAGAGAAGGGTGCTTGCAGAGACTTTAATCTTTACAATCAGCTTGGGGCCAACAGGTGAGCCCAGGTAGACTGAGAGGTGGAGATCATGCAGGGTCACACCAACCAAGGGGTGGAAAATCCCCGGATGATCTCAGAGAAAAGCAAGGAGCCCAGCAAGTCCCACACCCATGTTGAAATTGATCCAGAGCAGAATTAAGACTGTTGCTTTGTTCTCAAAGGGTTGCCCAATTTACGTACTGGGACCCAAGAATTGGCCAGCATCTTGGGACCCTGATAAGAGTGTACAATAGGGAGTTTTCATACAGAACTATCTTTAGTAAAGTCTTGGAGTTGTCTGGATGTATTAGTAGAATAAATGTTGAAGAAACAATTTCATCCACAGGGCAGCTAAAGCTGGAGATGGGTCACTGGTCCGGGAGCCCCGTGGTTTCTAGCTCCAGCTTGCCAAGGAGGTTGGAAACTCCCCAGATTGGGCCTGGGTTTTCAAAAGAGTAGATCAGATGACTTCCTGAGGCTTCTATGGATAATGTTTTCCATTTGCTGGGGTTTACCAGAACCAAGCACCATGTTGAGCACCGTGTGAGGCTAAGCACTTCACGTTATGTTATTCACTCTTTCCAATGACCCTTACGTTGATACTATTAACACTATTTTTGTAAGTGGAGAAACTGAGGCTCAGAGAGATTCAGCATCTTGTCCTGGTGTCAGAGCCAGGACTTAGATAATCTAAGTATAATGCTCCTCAGGCTGCTTTGATATCTTCAGTTCTCTGTGAATTCCAGTTACTAGACATGCTGCCCACTATGCTCCTGGGGAGTTGATTGTGCTTTGATCCCCTACACAAACTTCAGAGAACTGCAGAATTTTGGGGTCTGCAACAAAGATAGTCATCTTTCCTCCTCTGTCCACCCTCAGGTGGGTCCACAGTTCCTGGAAGGGCCCCCTTCAGCCCTCCATGGTCTGCAACTCCTGGTTTGGAAGGCATCAGCCTGGCCTGTGATACTGCACGTGTTTCCTGAATCAGAGGGCATCACACCTCTGACCTCACTTCTCCTGTGAGGACTGACCCTGCATTCCACGTGGACCGTAGCCAGGCCCAGGCTTCTTCCCTTTATATCACGGGGCCCAGCTCGTCCCTTCAGGGAGCAGCTTTCTGAGCCTGTAGCTGTCATTGTGAGCAGCAGTAACTAGGTTCATTGCCTTTCCAACTGTTAGCAGATTAATACCCCTGGGGTCTTAACCTTGAGTTGCTCTCCCCATGCCATCTTGGCTTTTTCCCATGCAGCCAAGGGTTTGAGCAGTGATCCTGAGATTCCTTTTAGAAACTCATAGCTTTTTGGTTTTTGGCTCTTTTCTGAAGATAAGGAAATCAGAGACAGCGTAGGTCTTGGTCAAATTCACACAGCAAGATTGCAATGAAGCTACAATTTGAACCACAACTCTTGACCCTGTTTCCATTGGTCCAGCTTCACAAAGTAAGAAGAATTTTTGGCTTATTTGTTACTTTTGGGGTTTTTTTGTTTAGTTTTCTTGTGTTTTGTTTCTGGTACCAGGGATTGAACTCAAGATCTTGGGCTCGACAGGCAGGCCCAGAGCAACTGAGCTAAATCCCATGCCCCACAGTGAGACGATTTTATAAATTAACCTCAAATTATGAAATTACAAGGTTATTATTCCTCCTTTGCTTTTCTATCAGTCTTCCTGATGACCTCGAAGAGCCTCTGCTTGGTGCCAAGCTGCTCCAGATCCCTTTTTCAACAGAGAAAGGACAGTGGAGTCACGGAGAGGGCAGGAAAGGCCTCAGAAGGCCATGGTGCCCAGCTAGAAATTGCATGGCTTTGCTTTACTGTCTCTGTATTTATCTCCATGGTTACCCCCTGTTTATGGCAAATGATCCAGTATCTCCTCAATAGCAGTGATACAGATTTCCTCTGAAAATAAATTTCTGTATAATACTAGGCCAGCTGATATGTGATTATAACTAAAATTAGGTGGTTCTCCAAGGACAGTAGCCAGGGAAACATTGCCCTGCACAGGGCGGGGGACCTGAGTGGTGAAATCCAGCTTAGCTGCTGGTTCTGTTTCCTGCCCTCTCCTGTATCGTCCTTTGGGCACCTTTGTGTTGCCCTCCTTTGGCTACCACCCGGCATCTTTGTGTGAATTCCAAAGACCACAAAGAGATTCTGCTCCTTTATGATGACCGTTGGTGGGGTGGGGTTGTTGACTACCTCCACATTTCTCAAGGTGGCCAGGTGGGCCCCAGCCAACAACTGCAATTATGCCAATGCCTTGGTTCCCAGCGTTTGCTCCTGACTCTAAGGACTGGAACACAGGGTGCTCCCTAAGGGACAACCCCCCTATTGTAACAGGGATCGGCGTGGCCTGACATGTCTGACTATGACTTTGGGCAAGGCCTATGCTGTTTCCAGATTTCCTCATCTGTTAAAAGAAGGCAGGTGGTACCATGACGTGATTTTCAGGAGTCTCCGAGTCACTGTTCAGCCCCTGGGGTGAGCAGGGCAAGGATAGGCCAGGGACAAGAGGGGCACTTTGCCAACTGCAGAGTGAGACCCCCAGCTGCATCAGTAATCCTGCAAAAACTGACTAGACTCCTGTCCACGCTTCTAATCAGTAAGGAGGTTAAGGAAGTGTTGTGAAACCCTGATTGAGTGTTGCTGAGCTGACTGACTGGGGTACGGGTGGTGGGGATTCAAGGAGTACTCCTTCATAGAAAATTGGTTCTTGCTCATGGCTGGGGCAAAGCTCTGTGACTGGAGGGAGAGAGTTATGGTGGAATGCTAGGAATCCACTTCAGCTGGGGCTCCAGAAAAAGCCCACAGGGCCCCTGATCTATAGGGACTCTTCCATTGTGCACTGCTGCACCCCACGCAGGAGCAGAATGGGGTTTCCTATTCTGCCCATCCTTCTCCAGACCTCCCTGACATGGCTGCCAGAATCTCACAGCTTCAGCTACTGATGTACCTATGGGCAATGATGTTGGTATCAGACAGAGTTTAAATTTGTTTTCCTCATTCCCGGGGAGTGATAATAGTTTTACCTCTTGGTTATGGTGAACATTCAGTGAGGTTCTTCATGCAGACTGCTTAACCCACAACAGGGGCTCAATAAACAGCCACCCTAGTGTCACTCTCCTATTTATACATCTGTGGATCTGAGATTAGCAAGTAGCAGACCTGCTTTCCACACCAATCAGACCTTAGCGCCCCCTGCAGCCTATGTGAGGCACTGCATACTCTGGGCTTCACCCTCCCACCACCTGTCTGGTCCCTGCCCCAGGCCAGGTGTGGCCTCAGGAGTATAGAGTCCCATCAGCCTCTCTGAGGCCCTTCTTGGCCCTTAGGCAGCACAGGCACAAAATCTGTGATGTGTCAGCCCCCAGACATGGCACTTGCCTGCTCCAGGAGGCTCTGCCAGGGGAAAGCTCTTCTCTCCTCTCTTCCATTTTCCCATGTTGAGGAAAGAGCATAGGGCCTTTGAACTGAACAACTTCCCCATCCCTTTTTTAATTTTTATGTTGAAACAGTCTTGCTAAGTTGCCAGGGCTGGGCTTGAATTTGCAGTCCTCATGCCTCAGCCTCCCAGAGTGCTGGAATTACAGGTGTGCACCACCATACTCAGCTGCTTCTTTTGCTTGACCTGAACTCTTATTTCCTTGGTATTTCTTCTCACAAATCTTTATTCCCTCCCACGACAACGCGTGAACACTGCCTCCCTTTTTCCTTTCCACCAGGTCTTCTCCCTTCTGGTCTTCAGACTGGTTTGTCAGCCAGTCCTGCCTGGATGTGGGAAGAAGGTCTTCACTGCTGAGCCTCAGTTTCCTTGCCTTGGAGTGGAGACAGTAATCTCTGCCTGCCGGGTTGTGGTGAGGATCAAAAGTAACACCAATGAGAAGCCTAGCTCACACTTATTCCTTTTTAATGTGTATCGGGCTTGGTATCAGTTTCTCCCCCCCCCACACACATTGATCTCAGATCCTTGGGCTTTCAAGGCAGGCATGGCACCACTGAGCTATATCCCTAGCCCTAGCTCAGACTTTTCACTGAAGACAGTAGACTGAGCTCATGAGTTACCTCTCCTTGCCCTGAACATCCATTGAAAGAAAATAAAGAAGCACAAAGAGGGAAAAGAGAAACTACTTAAAAATTTGAGTGGGTGAGGGTGGCTTGGGCAGTACATGAACAGATCAGAGACTTTAACATAGTTCTGGAACACCAGACTGGGTGAAATCCCATTAATGGATAGATGGAAGCAGAGAACCCGGAAGCAGTAGAGAGCAGTCTGTGGAGGTTTTGCTGTTTTGCTTTGTTTGGGTGGAGCAAGGACAGGGTGGGAGAGCAGAAGAGGGAGAGGCAGAAACCAGGAGGGCTGGGCAGATCTGGCTGTGGGCAGCCTCCTCCACCTCCATGGGAGCAGCTCCACTGTTTCCCCCAGACTGAGACTGCGAGGGCTTCTCTGAAGAAACCAAGGGACCGGAGGAGGAGGACCCAGGGCTCTCAGAGAGGGCCTGACCCACAGAGGACAGCCTTCTGCTTTCGGCCCCAAGGGGTGGCCAGGCCTGCCTGCCAGCTCCCCACCTGCGCCCACACCCACAGAGCCTGCCTGCAGCTCAGAGCAGCAGAAATCATTTCCAGAAGGAAAGCTGAGCAATGAAATCCCTGTGACTCATCGGAGATATTCAGGGAACACTTTCATTTATAAAATAACAACAGAGTATTGTGACAAAGAAACATTCAGAGAAGTTCTTCTATACTTAAATATGGTTGGCTGTTTATTTATTTACTCCTGAGAGATGCCTCGCTATGTTGCCCAGGGTCATCTGTAACTCCTGGGCTCCAGTGATCCTTCTGCCTCAGCCTCCCAAGTAGCTGTAGACCATAGGCACATTTGGTTGTGTGACAGAATTTTTAAAAATCAGGAAATGCTTGCAAAGTGGCTGAGACTAGGGCACTGACAGATACAGTGTTTGGTGAGGACCCAAGTCCTTATCGGTGGATGGCTGTTTTCTGACTGTCCTGACATGGCAGACACACCTTGTTCTCTTGTTCTGTTGTGTCTCTGTTGTGTCTGGGCATTACTCCCATCCATAATGGCTTTACTTTCATCACCTAGTTCCGTCCTGAGGTCCCCCTCTCCAAACACTGTCATGTTGGGGATTTAGGCCTCAACAGATGTATTTTGGGGCACACAATCATTCAGTCATGTTTATCTATATAAATGTATATAATATATATAATGTATAAAATATATATACAAACTTAACAACAATGTGAGTTTACATAAGCAGTATGAATTGCTCAATATTACAAATATTCCTTAGTTGCTTTGTGTAATTTCTACAGTTAGCATAAAGTCATGAATGTTCTTTAACATAAATTCAAATATAAAAAGGTGTAAAAACATGAGTGTGTCATACTAATGGAAGTGATGGTCTGTGATGAGAGTCTATTGTATCCTTACTTTTTGAGTAAAAGGATCTTGTGGGTTAGTTAATTTGTATTTTCTCTCATTTCTATCACTTAGATCCTCCTTGCACTTTGAAAACAGTGTCTGTCTCTGATGTTAGCATTGGAACTGTCCATAAACCCCCTTGGCATTGGTAGAGTCCAAGAATGGCGAACCTTTTAGAGCTTTCAATGATACAAACAGCTTGCTGTGTCACATTTGCCATAGGTGCACCACCACCGGTGTAGTCCATTTTTATTTTGAGGACAAAAGGCAAGAGATGAAGAAGTGCTCTCCTGGGGCCTGACTGGTATTAGTAGTAAGAGCAGATGTTTAAGATTACTTGATCACACAACACCAGACAAAGACCGGTCCCTGAGTTATGGGCTCCCCCATACTCTGTAATAAATTTGCATTGTTCATGTTGTGGTATGTGCGTTCTAAAGCACAGGGCCCAGGCAGGGACCCTTCATTCCGTAGTCAGGGGCAGTGTTGCACACAGCTTTCTCTCTGCCCCTCCCACACAGCATAGGCAAGAGTCAGCATCTGAGCCATGCAGGCCCAAACACAGGTCCCGGTCCTGCCCTTACACGCCTCATTACTTGGAGCAAGCCCCTGGACCCTCTGTGCCTCAGCCTCCTGTCTGTAAAAGGGGACTTGCAACAGGATTCTCCTCCAGGCTTGTTAGCAGGGGTCAGCCCCTAGCATTTGCAGGGCCTGAGGCAGAAGCAAAAAGGGAAGACTTGCCTGGGGAAGCTCACCCCCTTCTCTTCCCACCCTGGCTCGTTCCGTGCTCTGTGTAGACATCAAAAGTTACAGGCCCAATCCCTGGGCCACATCCCCCTTCTCTGAAACAGCTGCCCTTGGCCCTGGGGAGACTTGAGAGTGCACAGACTGGTGACATGGTTCCCTTTGGGAAAGACAGACACAGAGAAGAGGTCAGACAGATCTTGAAGGAAGGATCTGGGGTCCAGAACCTTATCTAGGTGCTGTCTAGAGGCTCGAGGGGAGGAATGGGTATGAAGTCTCCTCAGGCCCTTGGACTCTTAGCCTATGAGGAGAAAAACCTGAGAGAATGTCTCAGAGGAGAGGACCCAGACCAGAGCCCTGGTTGTCTGGCTCTGTGGTCCTGCTTGTGCAGGGTCCATGAGATGATGTTCACAAATGGCTTAGCACACTGCTTCCTGCTTATTAAGTGTTCGGCACACAGTTAGGTACTTAATAAATATATTTATTGGTGTTACTATCACTAAATGAGAATCTGAGTGCTGATTCTCCATTTCAAGGATGTGATTGGGGGAAACCAGATTGTCCAGGGCAGCCACTCCAAGGCCTTTGGTGGAGGTGGGTGGGATGGCATCCTGTGGGGCTGTACTGCTCGCTGGAGGCAGGAGGGACTGCTCTGCTTCCTGGAAGGTATAACTGAGAGCACGGCGCCCTTTCCAAGGTGATGGAGACCTGTGCAATTGTAGAGAGAGACCTTGGCAGGGAGATTAATAGGCAGAAGCTTAAGATGGGCTGCAGCCTCACTAAAAACCCTGTTTGAGGGGCGAGGATTTAGCTCAGTGGTTCTGCTGCCTGCCTCACAAGCACAAGGTCCCGAATTCAATCCCTGGTACCAAAAAAACCCCCAAAACCCTGTTTGTGGGATGCCTGCTATGTGCAAGGATACTCTGCTACAGTTTTTCTCTTTAACCCTGTGAGGAAAGTATACTTCATAGATGAGGGAATTGAGCATCAAGAGGATAAATGAAGCCACCCTGGTAGTGCATGTCTGCAATCCCAGCACTCTGCAAGTCTGAGGCAGGAGGATCCCAAGTTCAAACCCAGCCTGTGCAATGTAATGACTTACAGAAAACTTGTCTCAAATTTTTAAAAAGGGCTAGAGGCATAGCTCAGTGGGAGAGCCCTGGGCTCAATCCCCATACTGGGGTGAAAAAAGAAGATAAATGACTTGGCCGAGGTCACACAGCCAGGGAGGAGTGGAATGTCTGCCTCCAAAGGCCGCACCCTCTCCTGGGTGCACCATGATCCTGGTTCATGGGTGGAAAGTGAAAAACCTGTCCAGGGAAGCTCCAACTGCTTTCCAAAAGAGCTGATGACAGTGCAAATTAGGAAAGTGCTCATCACCAGGAAGTATAGGGTTAATCCTGCTCCTCCTCCTGCCAACTGAACCCCAACCCCAAGCCTCCCTGAGCTTCCCTGTGACCTCGGAGGAGGCTCCATTCTCACCCACTTCGGCACCTCAGGGCTGTTTGACAGCAGCTGGTGGACGGGAAGGTGCTGTTCAGGTCCTTGGTGGCATGAATACACAGCCTCAGAGCTCTGCAGTGGCCATGGTGTGGATGAGAGGCAGAGGTATCCCTCTCTCCAGGGTCAGCCTCCAGGGACTTCTGCCTTCTTGCTGTCTATCTAGCAAGTCATTTGTTGGGAAGTCTGCAGGTGACATTGTTTCTCCACATCTACCAGCTTCTCCTCCTGGTTGATGCCTACCTGGTCACCCAGTCCTGAGACGACCCAAATAACTAAACCAGGCCCACTAATGCCCTCTAAGTGTTGGCCTTTGGGATTTTTATTTTTTAGACACACAGAGACACAGTTTATGATTGATTCAGCACTCAAGTCCACTAACCAGGTTGTTTACTTAAGACATTATGGACCAACCCTGGACTGACAGAAAAGTCAGGCTACAATTGGGTTACCTCCACAGCAGCCTCTGTACCCAAAGTAGTTTCTTTGGGTGGAGATCCTCGGAAGCCATAGCAAGGGAATGAGGAAGTATAGCAAGGAAGGAAGGAAGGGAGGGAGGGAGGGAGGGAGGGAGGGAGGGAGGGTGCCATGAGATTCATGAGCAAGTTACTGCCATTGATACTGGTGGTATTCAGTGCTTCTGGAGACTTCTGGGAGATAGTACAGAAAAAGTCTCAGAGCTGTCCCACTGCAGGTGGGAAATGCTGGGTATTTATCCACCAACTTCTGTTTGTCATTGGTCGTGGCTGTTCCTGGGGCATTAACTCCCCTGTTGTTGGCCACCTCGTGCAGGGGTCCAGAATGCTCATGCAGCAGGAGAAAGCATTTGCAGCAAGCAGCCATCTGCAGGAGGTGGGCAGATGGCAGCTGTGGGATAGGCCCCAGGGCCAGCCTTTCTGGGTCCTGCTGGGTTCGGGTAAAACCGTGCTCTGAAACACCAAACAACCACAAGTGAAAACGTTATTGCTCCAACCACTTTACATGAATGTCACCAACACCACATTTGGGCAAATATATAAAAAGCACAATTTATTGTACAATCATTTCAACTGTTTGACTCATGCGCTGTACAGACACTTCCCAGGATCTTTCCCACAATTAATGGGTTTCAGGGGCAGCAGCTGCACTTGTCAGAGCCCCCTTTGCAGATGCAGCCCCGGGCACACTTGGCACAGCCTGGGGGGCAGCAAGGACAGCAGCCTAAAAGGATTAGAAGATGGATAAATTAGCTTTAGGTCCACACTTCCATCGTACCCCTGCCCCAATGCACATTAGCACAAACCCTGGAACAGGAGGTTGTGGGATGTTAGCTGGAAGGGATCTCAGGAGTCATCTAGGGTCCATCAGAGGCCCAGAGAGAACAGGTTTGCCAAGGTCATGGACAGTGGAAGATACAAGACTAGAACCCAGGGCTCGTGGCTCCAGGACAGTGCTGCATCCCCTTTCCACTGGACAGGAAGGAACTTCTCCTCAGTCTTCTTTCTGCTCCAGACACCATGGATCCCTTCCTGCCTCGGTTGGCTGTAGCCCTGGGGATCTCTGACTCTGGGGATCATCCACTCCAGTTTCATTTCAGATCCCTCCCAAATGGGTAAAAGGCATCCAGAACCCCCTCCAACACATCATGGCTGGATGGTGCAGGATGAGGGATCAGACCTCTCTAGGTCTCCATACTCACTTTTGCGACATGTTTTACAGTTGCAAGTTGTGCATTTGCAGTTGTCTCCACAGACACACATTCCTCCTAGAAGAGAGGACACAGCACCATGACTATGAGGACAGAGATGGAGTAGAACACAAGGTCTGCTGCAGACTGTCACAGTGGCAGTGCTGCTGGGCTGTGCTTGGGAAGCTTGCTTGGGAACAAGAGAGTGGCATTGCTTCAGACAACCCAGTGTTGGGGAC